GGCTGAGCCACCGATCCCGGCCGCCACAAAATATCTTATGGGATCCTCCATGGCCCCTCTCTCCATTCCACAGTGACTCCAGATGACCCATATTGTAGAAGACAGGGCCAAATTTGGGTCACTACTTCCAGATCAGAAACACCACCCCCACCCACCATACGCATCACCTCCACTTCTGGGTCCCTGAAACTATAAGGTAGAGCTCTCTTCCTCTCCTTCAGTTTACCCTCAAAGAACTTGAATATAGGCAAGAAATAATTGGCTGGGTGCAGTGGCTAACAGCTGTAATCTCAAGACTTTGGGAGGCTAAGGTGGGAGGACTGCTTGAGCTCTGGAGTTTGAGACCAGTTTAGGCAACAGAGCGAGATCCTGTCTCTACAAAAAATAAAAAATATTATCTAGGCTTGGTGGCATGCACTTGGGTAGCTGAGGTGGGAGGATCGCTTGAGACCAGGACTTCAAGGCTGTGGTGAGCCGTGATTGTGCCACTGTACTCAGGCTGGGTAACAGAACGAGATGCCTACTCAAAGAGAGAGAGAGAGAAGAAGAAAAAAGAAATAACTTCATTGCATTAGGCCACTGAGACTTGGATGTTCTTTGTTTCATTACCTAGTATTACCTACCCTAACTAATACATCCTGCCAGCTGGGAAATTACTCATTTATTCAGCATGTACTAAGCAGCTGCTACTGGCAAGAACTATGTTAGGTGCTATTTACAGCTGAAAGAAGGAGAATTCACCTGTTGAACCATGAGCTTCTCAAATTCCTCCACAATCTCAGGCAAGCTAAGCCACTTGATTCCTGGTAAAAGTCCAAGGATTCGGCTGCCAATCTTCATCAAAAGCAGATCCATGTGCACCTGAGAAAGCAGGCCAGGGTGCAACACCTGTCAGAAAGAGGAACAGTGAGACAGGAGGAGGAATCTGGTGGACACATTTTAGCCAGTCAGGGCTGGGTCCCACCATTAAGGAGGAGCCTGATAGCTTCTCATCAGAGGAAAGGGGATAGGGTCCCAATGTGAAGCCCCAAACTCCAAACACTCATCTTCTATCAAACTATTTGCACCACCACTCCCTCAAGCCAAGAAATAAACAGCTTGCACATAATCAGACACTCAGATATTGGTCAAGCAAATGTAAATCAACGTGGGGATGATCTGCAAGTGGGGGGTGTTTCTGATCTGGGAGAAGTGAGGTCAGCGGGTAGGTAAGATGCGAGCTGTCAGAGCACTTACTTTCACTGCCACAGGGATGAGGTGATCTGGCTCCAAGCGGTGGCCAGTGACCGAAGTCTGAGACACACCTGTATTTGATCCAACCAGGTCAGCTTTAGGGAGGAGAAGCCTTTCTAGAAATGACTGGTCAGCAAGATTTCCAGGAGGTGTCCACCCATTCCCAAGGTGTCCAAAGAGCTCTCCCGGCCCCCTAACTGCCCGCACCTCTGAAGAAGCCTGCAGACAGGAGTCTCTGCCAAGCCTCTGAAAGCTGTCATCCTCCAGGAAGGTGGTGTTGGCATATGCTTTGTACACTTGGGCCACACAACCTGAACCCACGGGGTCCCGGTTCTCAAAAGAGAGCATGCTCCCCCAATCCTCCCCAAATGCCTGCCGAAGAAAGCTCTCAGTGTGAGTCCAAGGGTGGGGCGTCACTCGGACATGCAGCTTGGAGAACTGGGCACAGAAAGCCTCAGAGAAGAGGTCCCGTCGGGTGCTGGCCCACTGGCCCAGTTTGATATAGGTTGGGCCTGAGGTCTCGGTGGCTTTCAGAAGCAGGTGCAGCCAGAGGTTGGAGACGCTGGGAGACAGGTAGGTGAGGGGATAGAGCAGGAGGATAGGGAAGAATTTCACCAGGAGGACGCAGGCCCGCAGGCAGAGGCCAAAATGCAGGAAGGCCCCGCCTAGCCGCCCTGCTGGGGACAGCCTCTCCCCTGGCCCATCTTCAGCCGGACCCCTCCAGCGGGCCCTTTGCCCACTCAAGCTGCCAGGGGCACCCTCCCCGGCGGCCCCACAGGTGGAGATGAGCTTAGGCAAAGTGCCCAGCAGAAGCCAACAGAGCCTGGCGTTGCGAGAGCACCCGGAGGGTCTCAGAAGGCCAAGTTCCCTTCTGAGCCCAAGACACCTTAGGTGCGACCAGCACACCTGGACCGAGACGCGCCAGGGGGTCGCCATCCCCCGCAGAGGCCACGGCCTAGGCCGCTGCCCTCGACTCAAGGGGACTCTTCCGGGCGAACGCTTTCGGCGAGGCCGAGAT